TCGCAACGTGACTTAGTTTAACTTAAAAGTGTATCTTGGATGTGGTATTTGATGTTAGCAACATGACGTGAGGATGCCTGGACAAAAATGGATAGCACTGTACTGCCTCCAGTGAATAGTTACGCTTGAGTAAAGTAAAACGTTAAAATAACTAGCTTTGGATGGTGAAAATAGAAATCAGGACAGTGCCTCAAGGATTACTTTTATGAGTGGAGTAGTATTTCCATGGAAGTTTTCATCTGAGGTTGTTCTTGGGGCAACCGGGCAAGCATTACTCTTTTGACATCTTAAATACCCTGAAGCTGGACCTCTGATATGCTATTCACAGGAAGAATGCAGCAATCTGGGCAGGCTTTCTATGTGGTTCAAGGTAAAGTTAGTACATCCTTTATAGATAACATGAGGGCTTCCCTGGTAGCTCAAGACAGTAAAGAATCTGCCTGTAGTGTGGGAGACCCAGATTTGATCCCTGCATTGGGAAGATCCCGTGGAGAAGGAAATGGCTAACCACTCCAGTATTCTTGCCTGGAGAATTCATGGACAGAGGAGCCTGGTGGGCTACAGTCCCTGGAGTTTCACAGAGTCGGACATGACTGAGCAGCTAACACTTTTAACACTTGTAGATAACATGATAGAGTGATCAGTGGACTAGGTGGCTCTTTGGTACCCTGGGGGAGGGGTGTGAAATTATGAGAATGTGGCTGTTCATAATAAATTACTTCATCTAGAGAACTATGAGAGCATTTTAGAGTAGTGAGCTTGAAAAAACACTAGGTGAGGGGCCCCACATTATTTCTATGTGTGCACTTAATGTTTCTAGCAAGGAGATGGATTGTCATAAAGAATTGTCTGGAATCATTTATCCTTCTGTTGTTGCAAAAATAAATTAGCAAGTCAACGCCCCGTTATTTATTTCTCCCTAACACACTGATAGAGAAACTGCTCCCTGTCATCACAATGCAGACTCATCCATTGTGATGATTTTATTCAACCTGATTGTTTACTGCAGTTTTTGTATCAAAATGAGCAAAGCCTGCCTTCAGAGTAGGCAGTAAGAGTTAACTCTGCCTGCTGTGTTTCCTCTTTCTAATAGGAGCACTTTAGCAATGCTAATCAGTTATACTGATTTTCTGTTTTGATTTTTCCACCATAATTAAGTGAGTGATATGGAATGCAATCAAGTTTGACACTAGGGGATTCATGCAAATGACTTTTTTTATGTTAAAATTTTGTTAAATGTAACCACAAGGAACATTATTTGAAGACCAAGACTGGGTAGGTAGGGGTGGTTTAACAACCAATTTAGAGTTTTTAATATTTTTAAAATGTTTCAAGAAGGCATATCTGTGTTGCCTTTTTTTTTAAATTGAAATAATGCTATTTTTAAAGGATTGTATTTTGTTTTCATGTACACCCTAAAGTGGAAAGATTATAGTCTCAGACAAGATGATATAGTTTAAAAGAGAAATGAAGAAAAATGTTCATGGAACTTTCTTCCTTCAGGGTAGACACAAAGAAAAAAAGGTACACACATTTATTCCTCAAAGCCTATGAAAGAAAACAATCAAATAGGGAAAGAGTATATGAAATGCCCTATCCACTTGTTTTGATTGCCTATCAGTGACAAGACAAACAAAAGGAAGGACCGCCCATGTTTCTGAATATAGGGAAATGTTGCACTTCTACACTCCTTTATAGCTCATTGGCACATTTGTGAAATGTCTTCTCCCCTTACCATGTAAAATATTTAAATTGTTTTCTCAAGTGATTTTAATCACTTTGTGTGAATTTGCACCTTCCCTTCTTGATCTAGCAATTTTTTGCTTTGAATATTATATACTTTAATGTAGATTGTTCTAAAACTCAGTTAATTTGCTGATTTTGATTTGGGAATAAGGCTGAGCTGCATGTATTCAATTTTGTTATAAATGTGCTGATATTCTCCCTTCCATGAATACCACCAGCAACATTGGAATGCAGTTTGATTTTTCTCTGTGCTGAATTTCAGAAGTAATAAGGAGATGACCAAATTCTGCTTTTTCTTTTTTTCCCTGTCATCCCTGTAGAAAAGTTAAAGCCTTCACAGGGCAGTGCATCAGGTGCAAAGCAAAAAGAGATACCAAATTAACACTTAAATTTTTGCATTCAAAGACAACAGACTCTTCCCTTTTCTTGGCAGTTTGATTCATTGCTTCCAGCAGTTTCCAACTTTGTACAGACTAAACATTTCTAATTGGGAAATGGATGGGTTGAGTCTGAGATGGTGACTCAGGATATAAACTTTCCAATTTGGGATAATTGTTTGTGAGTGGATGGCAGATTACTGCTGACTGGCTCTTGTTTTGTCTCTGAGGAAAGGATGAAAGTTAAGATGCATACTTCATACTTCGCTGAAACAGAATATTTACCTGGTATAGGTAAGGCAATGAGACAGAGATATTTGCCATGCTTATTTGTTACAACCAAATATAGTATATGAAGGGATTAATTTTTTGATGGATGAGGAAGACATTACAATATATGATGTGTCTTCAGCTGTGAAATGGCGGTGGTAAAAATGCCTACTTAAGTTACTGTGTGGATTAAATAGATAATTCACATGAAAGGTTCGGTACTGTGCCTAGCACACAGTAACCGGTCAGGAAATGTTAGCTGTTGTTGTTTATCATTATCATTACTTTTTATTTATTACTGTTAAGCAGAATAGCTTCTTTAATTATATAATGTTAAGCTTCAGATTTTACAACTTCATGATGATTAGCCTATGAGAAACATCTCCAATTTGAATTAATTTATAAGCCATATTTTGGCTAGTCATTTATGCTTCGTATGTTGGAATTACTTTGTGATGATTAGAATCCCCCTTTTAAAGATTTTACTACTTCTTATAGTGACTTACACTATCTTTTAATTTTCCTGTGAATTCATGACATTTATCAATATTCCAAATCAAACATTTTCTTTTGTTTTAGCCTATGCGAATTAGAGATAGATAACCTGTTATAACTGGAGAAGGAAATGGCAATCCACTCCAGTATTCTTGCCTGGGAAATCCCATAGACAGAGGTGCCTGGTGGGCTACCGTACTAATACACTATATATACTTGTGCTTATAAACAGTTTTGATTTTAAAGAATTTAATGTTTCTTCATTGTTCTGTTTTCTTGAATTTGAAGGATAAGCTGTTTTCTAAGGTTCAGTGTTTGCCAGTATTGTTGTTTATTACTTATTTAAGATAAACTTGCCTTTTAAAACCCCAAGATTATCATTCAATAAATTTTGTTCCCAGATACTAAAACCCGGTAACCTCATGGTGTGGAAAGTTAGTATGACTTCTCAGAATGCCAGCTCTCACCCAGAAAGTAACTGCTGGGCCCCATAATCTGGTCAGTTTTTACTAGTTTCACTGGTTTACCAACAGGAAGGCTAATGCTTGCTTTCTCTTTAATTTGCAAATGGATCACCTTTTTGGAGGGAGTTGCTGGCATGTGGGATCTTACTTCCCTGGCTAGGGATCAACCCTCCCCTCTCCCCCTTCACTGCCCACCCCTTGCATTGGAAGTGCTGATTCTTAACCACTGAACTGCCAGGGAGGTCCTGGATCAGCTATTTCTAATTCCATGTCTATTTTTATAATTATTATATGAAGCCATTTTATATAGTGAGACACACTTTTCCTCCTCATTGAGTGCCAAGTTCCCTCCACCACGGCCCTCCCCTGCCTCTTAGGAGGAGAGCTTCTGTGTTTCCATCTCCATGAGTGGCGCACCCTCCTCTCAAGGGGCTGTAACAGGCATCCTTCCTTGCCCTGACTCCCACATTCAGTCACCAAATCCTGTCCATTCACCTCCTGATAAACTCCCAGATTCACTCGGTTCCCTGCAAGCCCAGTGTTACTTCCGTATTTCAGCCTCAGTCGCCTCTCACCTGACCTCCCTCTAATAGTCTCCACCTGCGGTTCATGCTCCCCCTACAGCCAGTAATCTTTCTTCTGTCACCCTGTACCCTTCCCTGGCTCTCTGTAATTCTTGGATGAGGTTCACATACTTTGCCATCCTTATAAAATCCATGGTGATGTGCCCCCCCACCCCATATCTTTCTCCAGCTGCGCTAATTTGAGCTCATTAAGGGTGCCTGATCCCCCCCACCTCTGTCCCCTCTGCCTGGAACATACTCCTCCCTCTTCTTATCTCCTTCGTGGGCTTAACTCTTTTGTGTTGCTATTTGTTTTCCCCCTTTTGGTCTTTCCTCCTCTCAACAATAATACCAGTTTCATTTCTTTCTAATACTGACCTCCAAACAGCTTTACACCTTTTATCTGTACACCTATGTAGAAACCTCTGTAAAACAGCTGGCTTAGTCTCTGTTTAGCAGATGGTGGAACAGAAGCACTCAATATAAGAAATGTGTGTCACGATTACTAAATTATAAAGATCGTAGTGGGCAGGGACGAGAACTAGATCTGCGTTTTACGTCCAGTGTTTGCGCAGTGCCTAGGACAGAGTGGCCATTCAGTGAACATTGAATGAATTACTGAATGACCCTCAGTTTAAGCCTGAGGTGCCTCTCTCTTGAGTCAATGGACCTTCTGTTCCATTATTTATCCTCTAGGACAAAGGAGGTCAGATTCCTCTGTGTGCCCTCTCCTTCCAGAAGGGAAATATGCCTGCTGAGAGAATCTGGAAGCCTGTGTTGTCCTGAGTTGTTCTGGTAGATTCCTTTAATGTCGGCTGGCATGGATGAGAAGGCCTTTTGTTATGGTGGCAATTAATGATGATTTGCACTTTTTAGTAATTTACAAAATAGTGGCCATCCTGACAACATAAGAAATATCTCTCTCTCCTGGACCATGAAAGCTGGTGACCCATCTATTTAAATCCAAGACTCATTATTCATGTTTCAGCCCTAGTGACAACTGGCACTTTGTAGTTACTATACTGAAAAGAATTCTTTGGGGGTCATTTTAATGCATCTTTAATTTGAATTTCTTTTTCTTGTAGGTTGTTCTTCAGGAACAATGGTTATTTCCTCGAATTCATGTCTGGGCTTTATCTGTTTATTGTTATGCCACTGGATCAGGATGGCATCATCCCTGAACCTTGAAGATCCCAATGTGTGTAGCCACTGGGAAAGGTAATAATTTTGAGAAATAATATTTCTCAGTAGTCTGAGAAATAATTTCTGATAGATTCCTTTGTATGCTATCAATATCAGTACCACATATAAAATTAGAATTTGAGAAGAGATTATAAAATTGCTTTCATGTAAAAATCTTTCATTATAGGTAATAAATTAGATAGTATAATTCACCTTGGTCTTAAAGAGTGTATGTTATGTATTTTAAACTTGAGATATTAATTCTAACACAGGTGCATTTGTAAAATAGGGGAAAACTTTATAGATTCATAGATCGATTAAAATGATCTCCTAGAGGTCTTACATTTGCTCTGTATCTATTTGCAATAATTTGGGGGAGCTGAACTTATGGACATATGGATTATGGTGGAGTTCCTACTTACGCATGGGAATCAATGAGAGAGCAGTGAAAGACAGTGTGGAATAATATCCTAGAGCATTGAAATGAATGGCACAAAAAGTTGTGTGGTAGGTGACCTGAAAGGAAAGACCTGATTTCTGGAGGCACTGGCTAGGCTGCATGGAAGTAGTGTCACCTGAGATGTCCTTGAAGACTTGAATAAGACCAGTGGATGACAGTGATTGGCAGGGGTGCTCGGATGGAAGGTAGTTTGAAACCAGTGCCAGGCAGACCACTAATGACTGTACCCAGTAAGTCTAGCATCAGTACAATACAGGAGGAGGGCAAGATTGACTACATTATATGAAAGCAAATGATGTTGTCTCCAGATCTGGGTTAACTTACAGTCCCTTTTGGAACCCAGAAATGGCACACACTCTCTAGTGATACTGAAGTGCAGTCAAATGCAGTTTACTCTGTTACTTGTCCTCCTAAAAAAGTGTGTACATGTTTCTTTATCCAAAATGAACATTGCGCTTGCAGGTTTTTCAAACAAATAGAAGGTGTCAAGTACTAGAAGGTAGTATGTAGTTGTAATAACTGTAAATAGAATGACACTGAACTCTTAGTCTCTTTCTCCTGTCACCCTCAGTACCAAGAAGAGTACAGCACGGAGCATGCATTCCGGTCACTGGGTCACCCACTGGAAGGATGCTCAAAGCTCAGAGTTTTTCAAGCGTGGCAGCTGTATTATTCTAGGGCACACTGACTCCTCGTTCACAGTGCTAGTTTTCAGTGAGGGCTCATCCCCATCTCTGCTGACAGTATTACGGTGGGGTAACAAAACGTATTCTCCTGATTGATCAATAGAGTCTTCTATCATTATGAAACTTTAAGTGGGAATATGTATATGTAATAAAGTTCTATTTATTTGATATTAGCTATATTATACAGAATTTAAGAGGAGGGAATGCCTATTATCTTTATAATTTTCATAGAACTTCCCATAAAACATTTCACCAGCAAAGTACATAATACATAGGATTATAGTAATAAAAATAAATTAATGAATACATGACTAAGAACATATCAAATTCAGAAAAGGGAGAGTCCATTGGTAGTTGAACTTCTTGGAGGATGATAGCTTTGAAATGGGAGAAAAAATCAAATTTGTTAGGTACTGTGAAATAAAAATCAAGAGATCTTGGTAATACATTAACTATGGATATGAAAGAGGCCGAAAAGGCTGAGATTTAGAACCTGCTGTGTGGAAGAGCGGGCGTGTCTTTGGACATTGCTGTTGTTGAGTTGCTAAGTCATGTTTGACTCTTTGTGACCCTATGAACTGTACCACGCCAGGTTTCCCTGTCCTTCACTATCTCCTGGAGTTTGCTCAAACTCGTGTCTGTTGGGTCGGTGATCACATGTGGAAAGATAAAAGGAAGAGGGTTGATTTGACAGGGAAGAGATTAGTGTGGTTTTGTCACATTGTGTTGATAAAATCAATTTGAAATATGGGCCTGGATGAATATTTAACTTTTCATTTAAAGAAAACATGAAAAAGATACTTCCCCTGGTTTGTTTTTACATTGCCCTATCTTATAATTGTCATGGACAAAAAGGCCTTATTAAATATAAGAAAGAGTACTGGCTTAGAATAACCCTGTTTTTTGTTTTTTTGTTTTCATTGAAGGAGTCCAGTGATCTTTCATGAGTCTCTTTTTTTTGAATGAATGAATGAATTTATTTATTTTTGGCTGTTCTGGCTCTTTTTTGCTGCCTGTGGGCTTTCTGTAGTTGTAGTGAGCAGGGGAGACTCTAAGCCTAACATAATTTCAATGTTGTACAAGTGATTGGAGTAACTGAGAAAATACTAACGGGGAAGGAAATTCAATATGAAAAAATAGGAAAATGATGGGGATTTTCTCCTGCCTATATTTTTGCTATGAGCTACTAAAAAGAAAAAGTTGACAGCTACAATCTTCTCATCGATAAATTTTCTGTTATATGGCTAGATAATGATTCTTTGAAGAAAGGTTAAAGAAAAGTAGAATTTATTTTATAAGAATGGAGAAAAAATATAAATTAAAATGAACAGATAAAGGTGCAGGTGACAGATTCTCCTATATTTTCAAAAACTGAAATGAACTTGAATTGAAATGGGGAGATGAGGATGAGTTTCAGGGACAAAATTTTTGGTAGTAAGACCCAGTAGTACTCATCGCAGATTTTCCTTATCCTAAAACCCACCTGTCACCAGTGGTTCTGAGCCATGGAATCACCTGCAGTCTCGCTCCTTCGAGTGGAGTCTGTGGATCTGCGGTGGTAGGAACCTCAGCTGGGAGCTTTTTGGAATTGCAGACTCTCGGGTCCCTCCCCAGACCTACTGAATCATTTATTTTCAAATAAAAGTATTCATTTTAAGGCAGCAATTGTGAGTCCTAGAAGTTGTGTCCAACTCTTTGCAACCCCATGGACTGTATAGTCTATGGAATTCTCCAGGCCAGGATACTGGAGTGGGTAGCCTTTCCCTTCTCCAGAGGATCTTCCCAACTTGGAGACTGAACCCAGGTCTCCTGCATTGCAGGCGGATTCTTTACAAGCTGAGTCACAAGGAAAGCCCAAGAATACTAAAGTGGGTAGCCTATCCCTTCTCCAACGGATCTTCCCGATACAGGAACTGAAGTGGGGTCTCCTGCATTGCAGGTGGATTCTTTATCAACTGATATCAGGGAAGCCTGAAGTAAAATTAAGGAGAATTAAATCATTTAAAATACACAAGAGATACTTGTTATTAGAGAATTCTGAACAGCATCCCTTTGGAAAATGAATAACTCCATGAATCATCTGTTCCTTCTCCCCATCTCCTTTCCCTGTTGTGTGAGTTTAAGTATTTCCACCTACGAGGGTTTCTTCTAAAGAAGGCACAAATAAAGGGAAACCATTCTCTGCCCAACCCCTTGGGGGTGAGACGCAGGAGTGGTAATTATTGAAGCTGCATTCCTGAAGTGAGCAGAGATAAGAAATGATAATTATTACCATATTTGATTAAAGTAACAGGATCATTTAGGCAGATAAAATGTAATTAACCACTTTGGAATGAGTCCAGGTGATGATGGCTTCCCCTACCCTGTTCTTTGACCTTAAATTAAATCTTGCTGGGGTTCCTCCCAGATAATACTTAATAGGTTAAAATCACGGTGATGATATGTTTTCAGTGTGTTTGAAAAGATTAAACAAACAAGTAGGAAATAAAGGGTTTTGCATCTTGAGCCTGAAAATAGTGTACAGTTGGGACCTACAGTTTTTATCCCACCGTTTCACTGCTTGCTTTAGAAGCTTTCGATATTCTATAATATCTGAGAGGCAGCAGAGTTACAGGATGGTGTCTGGGGGTCATGGTGTTAAAGTGCTGGCTCTAGACTGTCCACTAGTACCAGGGGCTCAGTGAGGCTTATTTGTGATGAAAATGGGATTGGACTAGACCAGGGGTCCCCAAACTCCAGGATCTAGAGCCTGATGATCTGACGTAGAGCTGATGTAATAATAATAGAAGTAAAGTGCACAATTAATGTAATGCGCTTGAATCATCCCCTAACCTTCTCCCCCTCCCTGCCCCCATCCCGGTCTGTGGAAGAATTGTTTTCCACGAAACTGCAGATGAACATGGTGATGTGGACTGTTAGCCGAGGTGCTGATTGAGTTCAAACAGCAACCCAGCTCTTATCCAAAGAAGTGGTGCTAAGGAGCAGGGGATGTCCTCCAGTTCTCAGGGACTTTCGTCTTCATGGTGTGAGCACACAGCTTCCATAACGTGGACCCTTGGAAAATGACAACTTGATTGTCTAATGATAAGTGGGTACTGAGCAAATTAGGTGTAGTCACAAGTATTGGGCAGTCATAATTTTAAAACTATTTTACTAACAGGGAAAAATGCTTATGACATACCCTTAAATTCAAAAAGTAGATTTAAAATTATGTGGCTAGCATGAGTATGAAAATATAAAAGTGAAAAAAGCTAAACTAAAGCTAAAAGCTAAAAACCCCTAGGGATGGTAAGAGAAGTATAGGAAAATGCTATGGGTAATTAGGTAAGAGTTATTCAATTTTCTCCCTTTCTTCTTAAAAATTTGTTTTCCAGATTTGCTGGTGTGATTATAATATCACTAAAAACGAGAAATAAAAAACAGAGATTGTTTAGAAAAGAAAAAGAATGTATGAAAAAGAACAGAAAGGAAATTTGGGGTGAAGAAGCTCAGAATCCGTCTCCTTTAAATTTGAGTGGAAACCTCAGTATATGATCAATGTGAAAAGTAATTTATATTTAGCCTGTTGTTCATTAAGTTTGAAACTATGAATAATTCTAATGAGAAGTGTCAAGACTGGAGAGAAATGCTCAACCTTGGTAAATTTTATGGTTTGATTTCCCCTGAAATGTATATATTTCTCTGTTAAAGTAAAAGCAGGTTATTTTAGCTTTTACGTGTTGGCCTCTTTTAAGAGCCCTTTGAAGGCAGGAATTACATAGAATTTATTTAATAAATGTTTGTTGATTTGGAATCCTTAATGGTTTAATTACCCTTTTATAGAGAAGAGCTAAAAGCAGAGAAACATTCTGCAAATGTAAGCTATTAATGAGCAGCAAATGTCCAGAAGAGGAAATTCATGTTCATTAACATTTTCCCTTTTTGAGGCAACTTTCCAGACTGCAAGGGATTAGTGAAAACACTTTTCACATTTGCTTGTGGAGTCAGCTCCCCCATCATATGCAATGGCGAGTGTTTGGCCAAGGTCCCTTAGTTGATTATTGCTTTTACACTCCAAGGCATTCGGATCTTAACACTATAACATAGCATGTGAAATTATGGGAATACTGCATCAGATCTAGTTCTAATGAACTAATTTAGTTAGGCTAAATTATTACTGTAGAGCCTGGTAGATTACATTTTTTCACCCAAGAAACATTAATTTAGAGTTGTTCCTTTTTCATTCCCAAAGCACATGTGGAGAGTTGTTCCGTTTTTGCACATGGGTGATGTGAGACTGCCTAGACGGTAGGTCCACACACAGGACGCTCATTCACTTTTCTCTCCACTAGAAATGGAATGGAGAAATAATGCTGCAGGCCTCAAGATTCAGTTATTTGCAAGCTGTTGGCTTGTTGTTCAGTCACTCAGTTGTGTCCGACTCTTTGCCATCCCAAGGACTGCAGCACGCCAGGCTTCCCTGTCCTTCACCATCTCCTGGAGCTTGCTCAGACTCATCTCCATTGAGTCAGTGATGCCGTCCAGCCACCTCATCCTCTGTAATCCCCTTCTCCTCCTGCCTTTTATCTTTTGCAGCGTCAGGGTCTTTTCCAATAAGTTGGCTCTTCATATCAGGTGACCAAAATACCACAGCTTCAGCTTTAGCATCAGTCCTTCCAATGAATATTCAGGGTTGGTTTCCTTTAGGATGGACTGGTTTGATCTCCTTGTCATCCAAGGCACTCTGGATAGGGAGGGAAAAGAATTGGTGAAGAAAGTCTTAGGATTTGCATCAGCGTGAACTTCAGGATGCTTCCCAGGTGGCTCAGTGGTAAAGAATCAGCCCGCCAATGCAGGAGACACAGGTTTGATCCCTGGGTTGGGAAGATGCCCTGGAAAAGGAAATGGCAACCCACTCCAGTATTGTTGCCTGGGAAATACCACAGAGATCCCACAGAGCCTGGCGAGCTACAGTCCATGGAGGCACGAAGAATCAGACACGACTTGGTACTAAACGACAACAACCACAGCAAACCTCAGGACACTGCTAGGGGCCTGAAGAAAATCTAAACAGCTTCATGTGATATTTCGTCCCAAGAAAATTTATATTTTAACAGAGACCTCTTGGTTTACCCAAAAGGAGTTATATCAGCGATGTAGGTGATTGCATACTTGATGGTCATCTGAACCTGTTCTTGCAGGTGAGGTCTGCTGGAGTAGAAGGAAGTAGTTTTGTGAAATATATGTTAGAAATACAGAAGCCAAGTGGGAAGGGATTTTCAAGAACACCTCTTACCCCATTGTTTTACAATGTGATAAATCCAAGGAAATGAGATTCCCTGCTGAAGGTCAGCCAGGTTCTCAGTATCAGATGAAGATGCTAATAATCTTTCCTTCTTCTTATCCAGTGATCCTTTCATGAGGACCTACTACATTTGCCTCCAACCTGTGGAGGATCCCTAAATTTACCTAGAAATCAAGTTGCAATGTCCCAAAGAATCAAATACACAGAGTTTGAATAGTATGATGAGTTCATGGATGTCTCATGACGACTGAGAGAGACCACCTGGAGAAAGAAATAGCACTGTGTGTGAGGCCAGTACAGCTTAGCTTTCAAATCAAGAGTTTCTTTTCTTTATCTAATCTGAATTCTTCATGTAGAAATTTTAACCCCATTCCTTCCATACCTTCTGTGGTTCATAGTTCCTTTTAATGAACTTGGCCTGTTGATCTGCACCAAGTGAGTCCATGATTGTGGCCCACTTTTGTTATTATTGTTGTTAGCATGAATTAAAGATTATAGTGCAAATCTTTAAGAGACTGATAAAAAATATAAAACAAATTGTTTTGTAAAGGGGATTCTCCAGATTTTCCTGTAGGCAAGAGATCTAAGCTCTTGAGCATGCAATAGACTGCTTTGAAATAAAGTAAGGAAATGAACAAGGAATATTCTTTATATTTTTTGGATCTTTTCAGCCACATTCTTAGACCCATCAGATTGCATGCTTTTACTCTTACAAGAATCTATTAATGAAAATATATTGGAAAACAGACTGCTTAAGTAGCATCTGGGTGTTAGTATGATTATTTCAGGCTAATTGTCCCAGCCATATGTTTAGAATCAGGTTTAAAGGCTTCTGTGTAGCTTCTATGTAGAGGCTGTATATATTCTTCCATTACCTGAAAGTAGGGCAGGTGCAAGAAAGAAAATTATTTGAAGTTCCAATCAGAGAAATATACTTTCTGATTTTCCAAAATCAGTAGCAAAATGTACTCAGATTTGCTGATTACACTTATTATTTAATTTTTGAATTGAAAGTTGCTTAGTCATGTCCGACTCTTTGTGACCCCATGGACTGTAGTCCATGGAATTCTCCAGGCCAGAATACTGGAGTGGGTAGCCTATCTGTTCTCCAAGGGATCTTCCTGACCCAGGTCTTCTGCATTGCAGACGGATTCTTTACCAGCTCAGCTATGGCTGTTATTTATTGAGGCCTATGATGAAAATTTTTTTTGAAAGGTCTTGATATCCCTGGACCACAGGGTATGGGATGCAACTAAAAATTACAGAAAAATATGTGGTGATTTTTAAAAAATATTTATTTACTTGGCTGCCTTGGTTCTTAGTTGCAGTATGTGGGATCTAGTTCTCTGACTAGTGATTGAACCCAGGCCCCCTCCATTGTGATCATGGAGTCTTAGCCACTGGACCACCACGGAAGTCCCTGTAATGGTGTACTTTTAAACTTAGTAATATCAGAGTTTTGGGTGAATAGTAAATGAGAAATTTTTTGAAATTTATAGCATAAACTCTTGTGTTTTACATATTTTAATGTTGGAACTTTTAGGGTTCAAGTTCAAATAGAAACCCATCAAAACATGGAGATTCTGTTAAAAGTCAGTGTGGAGTTGTAGGTACAGATAATTTAGCCAGTGACTGTTTTTTGGTACATAGTCTATCATTAATGTAAGAGAAATACTACTGCTTCTCTTTTCTCTTCTTTTCAGCTACTCCGTGACTGTGCAAGAGTCATACCCACATCCTTTTGATCAAATTTACTACACTAGCTGCACTGACATTCTGAACTGGTTTAAATGCACGCGGCACAGGTAATGGAAACTCAAATGTGTTCATTTATCTGGCATAGTGGAATGGAGTCTGACACAGTCAGAGATATCAAACACTTGAAAAGGTGGGCCCATTCATAGAGTGAATAGCTATTGAGTGCAGGTGGTTGTTGTAGCCATGTTCCAAGCTGCAGGAGATATGGAAACACAAAAAGATTGTCTGTCCCTTGAGGAACTTACACAGAAAACATCTACTGATTACCATCATTTGATTAGCTGAAGTCACCCAGCTGTTGAGCAAAACTGGGAAGATACTGTAAAATATGGATATCACCAGATATCAAAAAACTCTATCTTAGCATATATTTCTACTTGAACATCTAATTCAATTTAGACAAACTTAAATTTGAATTAAATTTAAGAAAAATAGCCACATGTTTATTTTTTCTATAAATGTGAAAACAGAAAACAAAAACACTATATTAAATAATCATGTTAATATGGAAGAAAACTGTGCTACCTTGATTTCATTAGTAAAATACTTGTTGTCTGGGTTGTGGGTGGAATGTGGTACCTGCTGATTTATGCGGCACTAAATGATGTCACACTCATTATTATTTCTTAGGACAAACTTTAGTAGCAAAATGTACTCAGATTTGCTGATTACACTTATTATTTAATTTTTGAATTGAAAGTTGCTTAGTCATGTCCGACTCTTTGTGACCCCATGGACTGTAGTCCATGGAATTCTCCAGGCCAGAATACTGGAGTGGGTAGCCTATCTGTTCTCCAGGGGATCTTCCTGACCCCGGTCTTCTGCATTGCAGACGGATTCTTTACCAGCTCAGCTATGGCTATTATTTATTGAGGCCTATGATGAAAACTTTTTTTGAAAGGTCTTGATATCCCTGGACCACAGGGTATGGGATGCAACTAAAAATTACAGAAAAATATGTGGTGATTTTTAAAAAATATTTATTTACTTGGCTGCCTTGGTTCTTAGTTGCAGTACGTGGGATCTAGTTCTCTGACTAGTGATTGAACCCAGGCCCCCTCCATTGTGATCATGGAGTCTTAGCCACTGGACCACCACGGAAGTCCCTGTAATGGTGTACTTTTAAACTTAGTAATATCAGAGTTTTGGGTGAATAGTAAATGAGAAATTTTTTGAAATTTATAGCATAAACTCTTGTGTTTTACATATTTTAATGTTGGAACTTTTAGGGTTCAAGTTCAAATAGAAACCCATCAAAACATGGAGATTCTGTTAAAAGTCAGTGTGGAGTTGTAGGTACAGATAATTTAGCCAGTGACTGTTTTTTGGTACATAGTCTATCATTAATGTAAGAGAAATACTGACTGCTTCTCTTTTCTCTTCTTTTCAGCTACTCCGTGACTGTGCAAGAGTCATACCCACATCCTTTTGATCAAATTTACTACACTAGCTGCACTGACATTCTGAACTGGTTTAAATGCACGCGGCACAGGTAATGGAAACTCAAATGTGTTCATTTATCTGGCATAGTGGAATGGAGTCTGACACAGTCAGAGATATCAAACACTTGAAAAGGTGGGCCCATTCATAGAGTGAATAGCTATTGAGTGCAGGTGGTTGTTGTAGCCATGTTCCAAGCTGCAGGAGATATGGAAACACAAAAAGATTGTCTGTCCCTTGAGGAACTTACACAGAAAACATCTACTGATTACCATCATTTGATTAGCTGAAGTCACCCAGCTGTTGAGCAAAACTGGGAAGATACTGTAAAATATGGATATCACCAGATATCAAAAAACTCTATCTTAGCATATATTTCTACTTGAACATCTAATTCAATTTAGACAAACTTAAATTTGAATTAAATTTAAGAAAAATAGCCACATGTTTATTTTTTCTATAAATGTGAAAACAGAAAACAAAAACACTATATTAAATAATCATGTTAATATGGAAGAAAACTGTGCTACCTTGATTTCATTAGTAAAATACTTGTTGTCTGGGTTGTGGGTGGAATGTGGTACCTGCTGATTTATGCGGCACTAAATGATGTCACACTCATTATTATTTCTTAGGACAAACTTTCCTTGACTGCTTTGTCTAAACCAGCATTCCTTCATGTCACAATCTATTCCCTTACTCAGGCTTTATTTTTTGACAGTATTTAATCATTACCAGCCACTATTTGATAATATTTTTGTTGAACGTATATCTTAAATTATACAGGTCTGTCTTCCACAGTAGAATGTAAATTCCTTGAGGGCAAGAGCTTTATATTCTTTCACTCACTGTGAGCTCTTTTCCCAATGCATAGAATATAGTAAGTGCTCAATAAACATGTGTTATATAAATGGATCAGTAAATGAATGAAGCTTGAGTTATATGTAATGGTCTTCATCTTTTGGTGTCCTATTTTGTAGTAGGGTAAAAATGCATTGACATAGATTTTTAAAGGATTTCTCTGAATTCTTCCTCTAAAACTTATATAAATAAATGATGAGTGATTAGATAAGTAATACATATGAAACTGATCAATATCTTATAAAATAGCTCAAGTGAAGTAGGGAAGACATGAAGCTTCTGATTCCTTGGAAAAAGTGCTGGTTGACTTAAGTGTCCATTCAGTGTGTTCTTAGCAAATTGGTGAGTTAGTATAATATTGTTCAAAATATAAATCCCATGTTTCTTGTTTATTATATTGAAGGACCTTGCTTTTTATATTTATATCATGTTTGATAGTTTTTTGGTATTAAAATATAAGTATTTGATTTCTAACTGAATTGCAGATCAAAAGATGTAATGATGTGATTTTTTTTTGACCTCTATATAGAATCAGTTATCGGACTGCCTATCGACATGGAGAGAAAACTATGTACAGGCGCAAGTCCCAGTGTTGTCCTGGATTTTATGAGAGCAGGGAAATGTGTGTCCGTAAGTAAGACTTAACATTTCCTAGAAGTTCATTTATTTTTCCCAGTGTTGGTTTGCATCTGTTAATGGCAGCCTACAGAGATGGAGATTGAGGCCTATGGAGATGGGGCATCTTGGATCCTTCCCTGATACTCACTGCTGCTGTCTTGGCCTGTGTAAGCAGGGAAGCATTCACTATGTCCCTCTGTCCTGTCACAAGTCTCCAAATGAAAGTCACTTGAGGAGAAAGCAGAAGTTACAGAAAGATGATTCAAGGTTGGATGCCGCAATGTTCGTTACAATTCTTGAAGAAAAGTCTGTTTGGAAATCAGTCAAGGAGTCACTAGAGAAGAGAAGAGAGATATAAGCTTCCTGCAGCAACTCACCAGAGTCTTGAGTCAACTTTCAAGGGGCCAGCATGTTCATTTCTGGTACATAGGCTGAAAGGCTTATTAAGGAGCTTTCACAATATGAAATGGCTGTAAGTCTGAATCACAAAGTAGACCTTCTTTTTTCACTGTCATTTCTTTCTTTTCTCCCCTCCCCATCTCACTGATTCATTTTGAGATGTCTTGAGAGAAGTTTGATGTTTTATGACACACTTTGGGAAATCTTAGAATATCATGTGGAATGTAGTTTGCAATTGTGCTTTCTAACTATTCTGTGTAGGACTCTTAGAGACACTTAAGATAGGTATTATTAAAAATGATTTTATTCAAATATTTTGACTCAACAAAAAGCTAGAAGGATACCTTTGCTTTCTGAGATGAGATGCTGGTATTGAGTAGTAAAAAGAGACAGAACTCTGCTCTAATGTGGAGGCACTAGAAACTTCTAATCATGTCTGGGCTTAAGACTCCACAGAACTGAATGATAACACTGACTCGGCCACTGCTCAACTGGGTGGCCTTGGATAAACCATTTATAAATGGGTTTATAATTCTATTTGAGGCTAATCTGCTCTAAATAGAGAGAAGGCTTGGACCAGTATATCTACCATCTTCCTTCTAACCTTTGGGGTCTATTCTTTATATAGAAAGGGGGTAGTGTTAATCACTCAGTCATGTCCGACTCTTTGTGACCCCATGGACTGAAGCCCTCCAGGCTCCTCTGTCCATGGAATTCTCCAGACAAGAATACTGGTGTGGGTTGCCATTTCGTTCTCCGGGGTATATATAGAAAGAGTGATATCTCAAATTCAGTTCAAAACCAAGGCTATATATGATAATAAATGTTCATTGGAGAGAAATTAGAAAATGTAACTAAGCAAAAAGAAAAAAATGCAAATATATTGTGAATGTCATTCCTGGTCAGTAAATGTACTTCTGCAACAATTTACAAATGTCAGTGTTTATTGCATTATAGATGTTTATTTAACTGATATCAGCTCTTGAATATTTATATGATTTCCATGTTTTAACTATTATGGACTACATTAGGAGATGTCATTGTGATTAAATCTTTGTTCATCTACATAATTAATAGGTAAGGATACCTTCATAGAAGTAGAATTTCTGGGTTAGAGGCATACATATATTCCTAGAATATTTGGTGTGTTTCCAATTTATACCCCCACCAGCAGTATAGAATGTGTTTTTGCTTATGTGGTGGTAGTGATTTAGTCGTTAAGTTGTGTCTGACTCTTTGCAATCCCATGGACAGGCTACTCTGTTCATGGGATTTCCCAGGCAAGAATACTGGAGTGGGTTGCCATTTCTTTCTCCAGGGGATCTTCCCTGCCCAGGGATTGAGCCCAGGTTTCCTGCATTGCAGGCGGATTCTTTACCAACTGAACCACCAGGAAAGCCCATCTTTTTGCTTATACCCTATGCCAATTTTCCTTTTGCTATTTTTCTTAATTTGCATGTGTTTTAAGATTAATAATAGTGCTGAATAAGAAAAATTATGTTTATAATCAAAGATCTTTGAGAATAATCACAAACTGATCTCTGTGGCCTAGGCTGATGGGAAATTTTCAGAGGAAGGCCTTGAATACACACAGCTTGGAGAGTGGGGAGGCCTGTCTGGTCAGGCTGGCCACTTCCCAGATGCTTCAGGAAGACCTTATCTTGGTGTACTTGCCAGGGTTCAAACCTACAAGCCTAGTTGTCAGCACACTGAGAAAATAGCTCTATCTTGTGGATTTTTTTTGTTAATCCAAGCCCTAAGACTCATATATAAAGTCGGGGTGCTAATTCATTGTTACACAGAACTTGGAGAGGTGCTGACACAGTCATACCTTCTCTCCTTGAAGATCTGGCAAGTGGGAAACTAAATTTTATTGGCCGCTGATGTAGGGATTGTGGATCTGAGCAAGGTTAGTTAGAAATTTCAGTGCTTCATGGTTCTAGCCTTCTAGAGCCCAGTACCTCCATCAGTAATTCAGCTAATCTCAGAAAGCAGGGCAATCCCATAGGACCGTCATACCAGCTAAAAATTATTGCCATAATGTGATGGCAAAGATATTATAACTCTTCCTTGAGATAAGTCTCATACTAGCCAGTATGACTCCTGACTGCTTGGATGGCCATCTCTAGCATTTGTCACTAAATTTTTCCTTTTCTTGCAGTTTTCCTTTAGATATGTTAATACATTTAATCAGCTCACTGTCTGGTCTCAGAGGCCTGGGAGCTGTTTAGTCTCTTTAAGGGTATTTTTGTATCTCTCCACTCTGATGTCTTGATTTCATAGCTTAACCCCAGAGGACAAGCATGCTTCCGTTACTTCCCTGTTCTCGGGGATGCCGCTGGTACATCTTCTGTTCTCTCAACAGCTGGCACTCGTGAGACACCCTTCTGGATAGAGAAGGAAGAGAGAACACATGATTCTTGTTTCTGCTTTCATAATCTGTTTTTTTTTTCAACTAGGTTTTGCTGCCAGGCACCCAACTCAGTCACCATTTTAACTGTTCCCAGCAAGTTAGCAAAAGGAATTGAAGCACACGAATTGGTTATAATTTTGGTTTGATTTTGTTAGTTCACCTAGAAGGCAAGAAAAGGATGGTTCACATAGCAACCTGTATTAGAAAGAATAGTTTCTTTTACGTGGCTAAGGTAGCTCCCCTGGAGAGCAAGTCCCATCTTCCCATCCCGCCCTCCCCTGCTTCATCCTGCCCAGGATTATTCATTTCTGCTAAACTCTCAGGCTGTACAGAAGCTGCTGGTCACAGAGCACACTTTGGGTAAAGGGCCCTGTGTTCAGAAGACAGACATTTACCATCAGGCAGGAAGAGCCAAAACAAAAAATGTAGGGAATAGTGTGGTTAGAAGCCTTTCCTAAGAATCTGCCTGGAAAAAAGAATGGAGTGGAAAATTTTCCAAGAAGAAAATATTGCTAGACATGAAGATGTCTGTAACTCCTTTGTGAGGTTTTAACCTGTTCATAAAATTACACTTGTAAGGTTATTCATTTTTCAAAGTTCCTGTGGTTGCCTGATTGTGTTTCATTATTTTTAAAAACTGGAATGTCATTTATTTTCTTGACTTAAAAAATTGAAATAGCGTTGACATAAAATATGTTAGTTTCTGGTTAGTGATTTGACATTTGCATATATTAACAAATAATCTCCAGGATAAATCTAATAACTACCTGTCAAAATTATTACAAAGCTATTATAATATTATTAACTGTATTCCTTGTGCTATATATTACATCTATGTGGCTTGTGTTATAACTGGAGGGTTTTGCTTCTTAATTCCCCTCCACCCATTTCACCCTCAGCCCCCAGTGCCAGAAACCACTCATATGTTCTCTGTAGCTGTGATTCTGTTTTCATTTTGTTTTTAGATTTCACATACAATTAGAACCAGACAGTGTATGTCTTTTTTTTGGTCTGACTTATTTCACTTAGCATCATACCCTCTGTGTGCGTGCTAAGTTGCTTCAGTCTTGTCCAGCTGTTTGAGACTCTATGGACCGTATGCTGCCAGGCTCCTCTGTCCTTGGGGATTCTCTANATTTTTGTTGTTTTGAGCAACCTCCATACAGTTTTTCATAGTAGCTATCCTATTTTACATTCCCACCAACGTTGCATGAGGATTCCCTTTTCCCCACATCCTCACTGACATTTATTGTATCTTGTCTGTTGGATGATAGCTATACTAACAAGTGTGACGTGATATCTCGTTGTGGTTTTGATTTGCATTTCCCTGATGATTAGTGATGATGGGCACCCTTTCGTGTACCTGTTGGCCATCCGTATGCCTTCTTTAGAAAAAGGTATTTTCAAAACCTTTGCCCGTGTTTTAATCAGGTTTGCTCTTTGCTTGGTGATGCGCTTGTCGCTGTTTGCTTTGCAGTAGTTTTTTAGTTTGATGCAGTCTCATTTGTTTATTTTTGCTTCTGTAGTCTTTGCTTTTGGTATAAATCCAAACAATCATCACTGAAACCCATGTCAAGGACTTTACACCTATGTTTTCTTCTAAGAGTTTTATGGTTTTAGGTCTTGCGTTCAAGTCTTTAATCCATTTTGAGTAGATTTTTGTGTGTGGTGTAATATATGATCCAGTTTCACTTTTTTGCATAGGGTTGTACAGTTTTCCCAACCCCATTGATTGAAAGGATTGTTCGTTTCCTGTTTTATCTTCTTGACTCTTTTGTCACAAATTAACTGACCATATATGTATGGGTTTGTTTCTGGACTCTGTATTCTGGTCCACTGATCTATGAGTCTGTTTTTATGCCAACACTATACTCATTATTACAACTTTGTAATAAACTTTGAAATCACAGAGTGTGGATACCTCTTTGTTCTTTCTCAAGATCACTGTAGCTATCTGGAGTCATTTGTGGTTCCACACAAATTTTAGGACTGTTTTTTCTATTTCTGTGAAAAATACCATTGGGCTTTTGATAGAGATTGAATTGAACCTGTAAATTTGGTAGTATGGACAATTTGACAATATAAATTCTTCCAATCATGAGCATGGAATGTATCAAATGTATTTGAGTCAGGCTTTATGTATGTGTATCTTCAATTTCTTTCATCAACTTATTATAGTTTTTAGTGTAAAGGTCTTTCA